ATTTGAATTATTTGTTAATAAACTAATGTTTTCTGAGTCAATGTTGACTAGCCATCCTCATTGGACGTGCCTTTAGAGAGAAATGCATCTTTACCGATTACATAATGAAAGAGTTTGTGTTTTCGATTTGAATTATTTTGTTTTAAAATAGTCATTTAAAGCATTCTCTCTCTCTCTCTATATATATATATATATATATATATATATATATATATCATGGCAGTGCCACAAACTGATCACCTCCATGCCACGCGGAATTGAGGCAGTAATTAAAGCAAAAGGAACCCCCTCCAAGTATTGAGTACATGTACAGTAGATGAACATACTTTCCAGAAGGCCAACTATTCACTAAAAATGTTTTTTTTATTGAAGTATGAAGTTCTTATGAAGTATTCTAATTTGTTGAGATAGTGAATTGGTGGGTTTTTGTTAAATGTGAGCCAAAATCATCACAATTAAAAGAACCAAAGACTTAAACTACTTCAGTCTGTGTGCATTGAATTTATTTAATACACGAGTTTCACAATTTGAGTTGAATTACTGAAATAAATGAACTTTTCAACGACATTCTAATTTATTGAGATGCACCTGTATATGTAGTTGTTTAATAGCAGTCTAATTGATGACTAGTCTATAAATGGGCTATGATTAGACGTCTATTAGATTTTCACTGACAGCCCAAATTTAGCCTTGTTTTAGCCTAGACGTCTAGGCTATATTTAGACGTCTAATAGACGTCTTTTAAACGCAAAATTGCTTGCTGGGTGTTACCTTGTGATCATCAGTTACGTGTCAGCTCTGAGTCCATCAATAAGTGCATAACCTTCTTTTAGGAAGGCTCTCTTCCCGTTTTTTTTGGCTTCTTGCACTTTTGGCCACAACTTAGCACGAGCTTCGCGATCTTCCTTTGAAAAGTCTTCTTTGAATTGGATGTTCATTTCTTTACACACTCTTGCCTCTCTTGATTTTTTCCACACTTCATCTCTCACAGTCCGCATTGCAAACTGAATGATCACTGGCCTGGGTAACTTATTAGTAGCAGCGTAGTTTCTTTTTCCTAACCGATGCACGGTATCTACCAACTGCCAGAGCTTCTCCACTGACCACGGAATCACCCGGGTAAGAATTCCGATCACCGTTTCTCTTGTGTCTTCTTCCTTTTCTGGAAGACCGATCAGTCTGAGATCCCATCTTCTTTTGTATCTGGCATGCTCCAAACACTGCTGTCTCAGTGAGATGTTCTCTTTCCTCAAGTCTGCTACTTCCTTTTTCAGTTCGCCAATGTCTTCTTTATTCTCTTTAACTGTGTGTGCATTTTCCTCCATTGTCTTTTCAATTATTTTCAGCCGCTGATCTTGCTCGTCAAATCTCTTAATTAGAGTTTGAATTGCATCGAAAATCACTTCATTTGTTATTTCGTCTGTTTGTTTAACTTTGTCTTTCGCCTTTGTTCACAGCGCCGACTGCTGTTACCCGGATGAGCCTGCAGTGTTGCCAGATTGGATGGACGATTTCCAGCCCAAAAGAAACTTCGTACACACACACACACACACACGAAATGTAACGCAGTGCACTTGATTCAGTGCAATGGCGCATGAACGCCATTTGCAAGTCGTTATACCAGAATACATCATTTTAAAGGATAGCTCACCCCCAAGATTTAATTCTGCCGTTATTTACACACATTCTTGCGATTGTGTTCATACAGTTAAGGTCAGAGTCTACTGCTACTGTTTATTGAGGCTACATCAGTACAGAAATGTGGTGTGATGGGTGGATAAACAGCTTAGCATTGGAGTTTGTGTCCATTATTGGATGGATCTGCTTTGTGTGTGTCTAAAAACTTACTAATTCATAATGTGAAACTCTTCAGAGAGAAAGAGAAGCATAAAAAACATTATAATAGGTGAGAAAGACTGATGCAGAGTGAGCAACAGGATTTATTGTAAGGCAGATTGTTTGTTTGTTTATTTCTTTCTTAACGCCAATCCAGCATCTATGGCTATTCATGGCGAGAACCAATTAATCCATACACAAGTCGATCCATTGTCTTTACACACACGTCCAGGTATTAATTTAGAATGTTCAGTTAACTTAACCTGCATGTCTTTGGGCTGTGGGAGGAAACCGGAGCTATTAAGGCAGAAATAAACAGGACACAACAAAAATCTCCAGTTCAGACATAGGACAGGCACAATGGCAGGCCAGGACTCTTGTAAAAGGACTTCCACACCAGTCAAAAACGATGACGGACAAGCACAAGACAGATCACATGTGGAAAATAAATAGGAAAGGAAATAAGGAGGGTAACAAGGAAGAGCAAGTGGGTTAAGATAGCCAAAAGTCACAAAGACTGGATGTTTGGATCATGGCACTATAACCAATCTAGACAGGAGTGTCAAGACCCAGCAACCAAGCACTGAACAATGTAAAGTTCACCCACTTTTTAGTGCAAAGTAATTTAATTTCAATTAAATTCTAATGTGACTCCATTTTAGAATTATCCAGATTTGAAAATCCCCCATTTTACAATTCAGCATCAGGACCATTTTACTTTTTTATGCCAGTTTTTAAAGCATCATTGGATTAGACATTAGTCACATCTGTGTTTTATACTGTATTACTGTTTCAAATTAAATTAAATTTGCATTTACATAAATCCTGCTTTTAGGCTTCCTAGTCTAAAGCTTTAGACTGATATTTATATCCACATTTGATCACAATAAAATATTTGATCTGTTCAGTACAACTCATGAAAACATGGGATGTGTAAACATGCTTTTCTATATTGAACTGATGTGAAGACTGAAATAATCAAAGAGTTTTAACTCTACACATCAGTGAAAAGTCTCTCAGACTCATATACTGAATTCAATTGAATATATTACCAAACACACAACAGACTTTTAATCTCACACACAAAACTTTATTTTTATAACACTGAAAATGTAAACTAAAAACACTGTGATGTGTTTCCTGTTATAGCTGGTTTATAAACGAGCAAAAGCTGAAGGACTCAGGGGACAGACAGTATTTGAAAATATTATATTATACAAAGTTTTTTTTTTTTTTTAACAAAAGTCATCTACAAAATATCAAAGCATGAACACTTAAAACACAAATACGTGCAATGTAACAGTGCAAGAGTATCAAATAAAAACAAACAAGAATAAAATATATGAATTAACCTGAGTTTAGTCCTGCTAAATTTTGCAGGTGTAACAACAATCAAGCCATTTTAGTGTAACATCTTGCGTTTATAGTAAATTGGTCAAACTGGCTCAAAAAGAGCTTAATATGATCAGTGCAATATCAGCATCAGTGCAAACAGCAAACTGTTACATCAACTTCTCTATTTATGTCAAAACATCTAAAGTCTTTACTCATTAGTTTCATATTACAAAAGCTCAAATGGATCACCTTTAAACACTCTTCATGTGTATATTGTTATAGTGACTATAAGTGACTATAAACTACTGCTGCTCTGTTTCAGTGGGTTTGAACAATTTAATCACTTAATCATTAATCAAAGGCAGATCATCCTTCTGAAGATCTTCCTCATCGATGATAGAAACTAGGGGGGGAAAAAGAGAAAAACAAACAGTCTGAACTCATCATACAACATTGATGCAGCATTGTAATATTGCTTTATAAATGAATTAATGAAGCCACAGTAACAAGCATTAAATGCTGAGGGTTAGGAACACAGAGTAAGAGCTCCTGCTGTAGCTAAACTATTTGTTTAAAGAATGAAGCTTTTGGTTAATTGCTAAATTTACTCTTATATTTTACCAATACATTAACAACTGTGTTGTACAGAGTTCAGTCAGAAAAATCATTACATCAAGAAGAGATGAAGACAAGGTCAACTCTGTCTTTATATTTGTATTAATGATGTTAATGTTATCATGATGTGTGAATGAACAACAGGAATGAATCCAAATTATACACATCTTACAACATGTATTGCTCTTGAGAAGAGGTACTGAAGACTTTCTGAAAGCAAACAGATTTTAATTTATTGTAAATCTTTCATTTTCACAGGCACTCAAGAACCTATAGTTACTGTTTATAGGTTATATTATAGAATATATACAGTAGTTCTGCTTGTCGATTTAGTTGTTACTACGTGTCTCAAATTAAACTCAGATTTGATGTCACAACCTTTGAAAACAGACACTATTTCATACTCAAAAGCACTCACTTTAACCTGGTACCGTAAACAGAAGGACTAATAAAAACACCTGTGTGCTCAGTCAATCTGATTAAATCAGATATTACGAGATGGAGAAAGTGTTTTCCAGTAATATTAGTCTGTCCTCACGCTGCAATGTATGTTTCTTTGTATTCTTAGTAGACCAACCAGTCACATTATCAAATTACAAATCAATCCTTGTGCTGTTCTTGCACAGTGTACATCCATGTTTATGTTGCAGATCCAGCAGATAATTCATGTTGTATTTATAACTATACAGTAATTTTACTATTTATCTTTCTTTAATAATATTTATTATTGGTTTAATGTCTAAGTTTCTTTTTAGGTTAGCTTTGAGTAAACTATGACTTCTCTATGTCAGAGTATGTTCAGAATGGCACACAGCTTGTTTTTCAGTTTTACAAAGCACAAGGTCAGTGCTGTCTCTAATACTTCTGAGCTTCTTTTGTAATGCTGTTTAGAGATTAACAGTTTTACAGTAATGCTGTTCAATATTGAATATCTTTAATACAGTGGTGTCCAAACTTGGTCCTGGAGGTGCCAGTGTCCTGCAGAGTTTAGCACCAACTGCAATTAAACACACCTCAACCAGCTAATCAAGATCTTAGTAGGCATACTATAAACTTTTAGGCAGGTGTGTTGAGGCAAGTTGGAGCTAAACTTTGCAGGACACCGGCACTCCAGGACTGAGTTTGGACACCTCTGCTTTAATACCATCATTACTATAAAGGCACATCACACTCCTATAAACACAAACATGCTGAGAAAGCATTTGAGATCAAACATAATAATATCTGCAGAACTTGTGTTAAGTTTGAGTTTTCTACAGACACACAGAGACACAGCTCACAGTAGATCTGTATCTGCCCTTTATCTGTTATTATCTTAATACGTTTTTTTTTTCATATTATATAAACTATGTGTGATACTTACTACTTTGTCCTTCTAGTTCAGAGATCTTGCGGCGATGGTTAATCACAAGAGCAGCTACAGCTGCAGCCACCAGAATAACACCAACAACAATCCCTGCTACAGCAGCTGGAGACAGACCTGAATCTGAAAGAGTCATTAGTGTGAATGTGTGTCTGATCTATAACACACACTATAAACATCAGTGCTATATAACCTGAGTGAAGATCTGATACTGCAGTGATAAAGAGAGACAGTCACAGACTGTATATATGTATAGGTTACTTTTGTGTGTGTTACAGTATGTATCTATAAAAGCATATTTACTGTATAATGTAAAATGCAAGTGGACTACTGTAATATAAAGCATTACAGTAATCATACAGTATTACAGTACTGTACACATTGTTGAAATACCTGTTCTGTCTACGAAACGCCTGAATGATTCCCAAGAGGTCCTCGCTGCAGCCTGTAGTGTGATGACGTACTGGATCAGATCCATTACGTAGTGGACGTTTAACGCGCATGTGGTTTTTGTGTGAAATCCCTAGATCGATGTACTATAATGGCTAAAGAAATACCCCGTTATCGATACCATTACAAGAGCGCTCGTGCACTCTCTCTTTCTCTCTCAGGAGAGAGACTTTTTTCCTTTGAAATATTTTGAAACTGATATTGTTTTGTATCAGACGGTGTGAAAAGCAACTAATGAAACATTTATACATTTATTTGACCTGACTGAGGCGTTATTAGTGAGGTAAAGCCTTAATATAATTTTAATGTTTTTTTTTTAATTATTATTATTATGGAAAATGTTTGTAATAGCTATGTTTTAATAATATAAAAATTCTAAATAAACTAAATGGATTGGCATTAATCTAATAACCTAAATTAAATTGAAACAAACATGGCAAATACAAAGAGTCAAAAAGACATTTAACTCTGTCAGAGTGATGTATATCTTAATAATTAGCTGTTCACAGTGCAACATCTGCATATGGACATTTAACGTGGCTTAATTCATTACGACAGTTTTTAAAAGACCAAAGTCAGTAAACACATTATAAATAAATCATACTATGTACAGACAAAGCATGTGAGCCCAGAATAAGAACACAGCACATTTAATTATGCATTAAGTGTTATCATGCCATAGAAAACGTTATAAGGAAAACGCTTAAGGTGGCTTAATGCGTTAAGACAGTGTTTTTAAAAGACCAAACTCAGTAAACACATTTTTAATCAAGCATACCTACTATGTACATACAAGGTGAACGTGATTTTACCGAGTACAACATGTTCCTGGAACAACGTCCTTGTTGATCCAGGAACAAGATCCTAATCAACCAATCAGAATTGAGAGATACATTTACAGGAAATATCTGTTTTAGGCATAACAAGGCTTAAGTGCTTCTGCACCCATGTTATTCATCTATCATTTCCCTCTGATTTTTGGGATAAATTATGGGTAGGGTTAGGTTTAGGGGTAGGGATAGAGTTAGGCCTATGTTTTTGGACATATTTACATTTAGTCATTTAGCAGACACTTTTATCCAAAGCGATTTACAAATGAGGACAATGGAAGCAATGAAAATCAACAAGAAAGCAATGATATACAAGTGCTATAACAAGTCTCAGTTAGCTTAATGTAGTACATGTAGCAAAGTTTTTTTAACTATATAATAAATAAAAAGAAAACAGATAGAATAGAAAAAGAATAGAGCAAGCTAGTGTTAGAGGCCTTTTTTGCTTTTGTTAATTGTATAATAAAGGAAAGAAAACAGATAGAATACAAAAAGATTAGAAAGCTAGAGGTAGTTATTTATTTATTTTATTTTATTTTTTTTTAAGAATAGAATTAGAATAGAGAGTGCTAGAGTTAGAGGGTCAAATAAAGATGGAAGAGATGTGTTTTTAGCCGATTCTTGAAGATGGCTAAGGACTCAGCTGCTCGGATTTAGTTGGGCAGGTCATTCCACCGGGAGGGAACAGTTACTGTAAAAGTCAGTGAAAGTGATTTTGTGCCTCTTTGGGATGAACAATAAAGCGATGTTCACTTGCAGAACGCAAATTTCTAGAGGCACATAAGTGTGAAGTAATGAATTTAGGTAAAGGGGTGAAGAGCCAGTGGTGGTTTTGTAGGCAAACATTAATGCCTTGAATTTTATACGAGCAGCTACTGGTAGTGCAAATTGATTCGGCTCATTAAAAATTAATCTTGCTGCCGCATTCTGGATTAATTGTAAAGGTTTGATAGAATTGGTTGGAAGACCTGCCAAGAGAGCATTGCAATAGTTCAGCCTGGACAGAACAAGAACTTGAACAAGGAGTTGTGAAGCATGTTCCGAAAGAAAGGGCCTGATCTTCTTGATGTTGAATAAAGCAAATCTGCAGGACCGGGAGTTTTTGAAGGAGTTATGGTTGATGTGCTTAACTGGATGGTGAAATTGTGATGAAACGATGGGTTTGATGGAACCACAAGCAGTTCTGTCTCCGTCATGTTGAGTTGAAGGTGATGGTCCTTCATCCAGCAAGAAATGTCTGTTAGACAAGCTGAGATG